AAAGTTGACAGGGTGTCTGCCTCACGGACTAAAACTGACGTCATAGCGCGATTCGGAGGCCTGTTTGGATTAGAAGAATCCTCGTTAAAATTATATTTCTTATTAGCTCAATATACATTCATAATTTAGAAATTTTACATACTTTTGACTTTATTTAAGTTTAAATTACCATTTTCTATAAAATCTGAATTTGAACTCAAGAAAAACTGATAAATTCAGCTGTAAAAATTAGAACATTTTTAAAATTTGTTTTGAAAAAAACTTTTAACAGATGAAAACTGGGATCCCATCTCAATACCACTGAAGCTATCACATTATTGTTTTTAAATAATTAGTAAAATAGAATTTGTAAAGGAAAAAAAATGAACTAGATCCAAAGGACCTATCAGTTCTTTAAGTATTATAACAGGAGCCACGACATGATCTACAGGGGCACTGGCCCCCGTTGGCCCCTGCCTAGAACAGCCCATGAATCCAGAGCCAAACACTTCTGGCCTTCTTATCTTCAAGGACCTCCAAGGACCCGGTCCAGGTAGACCGGGTCCTTGGACGCAGCCTCTGGAATCAAACACACTCTTGGCCTATAAATCCTCGGATTCTCCTTTAACTTCCAAACGTCCATCCAAGCCGCACATTTCAGATTATTGCAACGAAAAGCAATGAACCTCAGATGTCTCCGTCGTCCACAGTGAAGCTACCTTTCCAGTTGGTCCCTCACACATAGTCCGGATGAGAAATGTCCCCATTGTGGGACAATAAAGGGATTTATAAGTACTTTTTTTTTTAATCCTGCTCTGTTTATCAGCATAAACGCATCACCTGCTCCTGTCTTCCTGCTTAAACCACAATCTGCATCGCTGCTATCTGACCCTGTCCTCTTTTAAAGATGCTGGACCCGTTCCTTCCCCACTGTCCCCACATGGCCCAGTCCTCCCAGTTAGCTCCAGTCCTCCCAGTTAGCTCCAGTCCTCCTGTCCGTGCGTTTTAAGGCAATGCAGATGGTTGGAAGGGGAAACATGATCATTTCCTGCTCACAGCTCAGTCCTTCATGTCTGCTGCCCTTTTAGGAGCCTTCTGAAAAAAAAAAAAAAAAAAA